CAAACCAGCAAAGCAGGCCCCGGCATTGGATTCCTTCCGCACCTTTATTACTGGAAATGCCTGTGCCCAGCCCAGTCAGAGAGCGGTGGATTTTAAAAAAGGAAGGTTTCTCTTTGTGGGTGAAACGAACATGATTCAGCACAAGCAGCCGATCGGGAATGTGGAGGCCAGGCTCTCCCTTCAGGCTCGGCCCCCACCCTCCACCCCCCTCGCGGCCACCTCGGCAGAGGCTCCAGACTGCACCTGCAGGATGGGATCCCCAAGGTGCCCACGGAGGCCGGGCAGCGGGCCACTCCTCTCTCCAAGAACACCACCACCTGGCAGGCCGCCAGGAACAGCCCCGCGGACACTGCTCCCAGGCATCCAATGACACAGAGAGCAAACGTGTCAGATCTCACGGTCATACTAATGCTTCTCATAAATAAGCCCCCAGATGCACAGCTGTGGCTGGGGATTCACGAGCCTTCTGAGGACACACCGTGACAGTGGTGACATGTGGACGCACATCTTCACAGTGCACAGACTTACTGAAGAATGTCATAGGCCTGTGGGTGTTCAGTATCATGCCAGGGACAACGGGGGCGGGGTGGGGGAGATGGTGGGGTCTCCACACTCGGGAAGCATATGACTTAGTCTGACAAACAAAATCTATGTCAGGTGAGAAACTGCGTACGGATGATTAAACGCTACCCACTGTGGTAGGACCGAAAAGGCAAGTGAATCTCAGAGCCAAGGGCACACACGGAGGGCGGCCTTGGAAAGGCAAGAAGCGTTCATTGGACACAAGGAAATGCATTTCAAGTCAGGGAAGAATAAGATCCAGGCCAAGGGTGGGAGACCTCCGTGTTCGGTGCCCTCCAACCTGCTCACCTAAAGAGATTTTCTCAGGTGGGGTGTCAGAAGAAAAAGGTGACCTTCAAGGCTATCTTCTTCATCTTTCTGACTCCAGCCAGGAAGCACCTGCCTAGTATCCAGGACCCCAGGGAGCCTCTAAATGCTTGCCTACTATTCAGTCCCCCTAGGAAGCAAGTTACCCTTGGCCCCGGGCAGGGGGAGGGGAGTTGTTCTTTTTTTTTTTTTTTTTTTTGCATTAGCTGACATGGCTCATGCTCCCAGGTACAGAGGGAAGTCAGCACTGCCACTCTGGCCACAGCAGACTGAATCCAGCGCCCATGGCGAAGCCACACCACCGAATGGGGCTGGACAGGCTAACCCTGGGACAGCTCTGCCCAGTAGGGCTGCGCCATACTGAGTGGCAATGGACTGATCCGGTCGGATTCTCTTTATGAGAGAGCGGGGAGGCTGGCGAACAGGAGGACGTGGGCCACTGCAGCCTGGCATCTCCTAGGGAAACTGACCCCTTATTCTAGTGCTCCACGAAGCCGGCCGACGAGCCAGTCTGCATCTGTGGGACTCGGAGAGGCTGCACTTGCCCTCTATGCCTAAAAGTACTTCTTCCCCAGGGCTCCTTAAAGATGGCAAGCCTGAGCCCAAGACTTAAGGAGAGGCACGTGGGGAAAGAATGGAGACATCCTGCAGGAATGGAATCCAGCGGTGGGGAGGGGAATGGCCTCCTCCATCTACAGGTGGCTTCTTCTTTTGTCCCCGTGAGTCCCGCATCCCCCACTGCTTCTGAACTTGCAGGGAGCTTTTTTTGGTCCAGGCTGAGCCCTGGCCAGGTAGACAAGACCCAAAAGCTCTTTGGGCCTGGCCTGAGAAAGGATACCAAGACGCTGTCCGTAGCCTGGCCAGACCCAAAGTTGGGCAGATTCTCTCGTGTCTTATCACTGCCCGTGAGAACGTGCAGAGCTGACTCAATTCCACATACTTTGTAGCGTTTGCTCTGCTCAGGACCCCAGATAACTCTTTGGGAAATGAGGAAATACAGCTCAGAGAGCTGTTATCTGCTGGGTCCAAGGTCAAAGCAGATTAAGGACTGGAAGGCAAGCTGCCAGAGCTGAACCTTGGCCCCAGGCTCCCCTCACGATTACACTGCTCCTCAAGAAACAGGTCCACTCAGGCACCCTGCCTGAGCCCCAGGGGCCACGGCTCATGAACATGACCATTAAGCAAAGCCTCCTGACACCTCTCCAACAGGTGCCAAGCACGGACTAGCGGGAAAGTCTCCAATCAGGGAAACTACCCTGCAAATCTTAGCGGCGAACGAGGGGCATTCAGAAGAAATGACACCAACAGCCACCACAAACTGCCACGCGAGGTCCTGAGGAATGGAAACAGCATTCCTGAGCCTGTAGCAAGTCACACGGTGGTGGTGGTGGTGGTGGTGGTGGTGGCGGCGGGGGGGGGGGGGGGGGGGGGGGGGGCTGGGGGGCGGTTACCAGACTGGAGCAAATCTTGAACTTGGGGTCTGTGAACCCTCGGGAATTCTCACAAGATTGCATGTCTGGTGCATTAGTCTGGGAAGAGCGTCCGGAGCTCTTCCGGGGCTCGAGATGCTCAAGGACGCCAGGCTAAGCCCCCTCCGACCCTAGCGCTCAGGGCATTCCCAAACCCGGCAGCCAAACACGTTTCCAAGCACAGGAGAATGCACCACGCAAAATAAGTAACCCAGCGCTGTTACTGCCCTGGCTACTGTTGCTTCCTACCTTTCCTATTCATCTACCCCTGCCCTAGGGGTCTGGGTCCACACACCTGCAAGATGCAGCACCCTGAGCACGGCACTCACCTGTCTGGGCCCGCTGTGTCCCTAGAGAGGCTCACCTGGTCCGCCCCCTGGTGAGGCCCTGGGTGTTTCCCTATCTCTCAGTGACTGCTCATTCCCTTTCTGCACATCACTACCTCCAGACGAGAGGAGCAAACTGGGAAGGAAAACACAATTCGGGAGAAAGAGCCACGTAGGTGCACAGCACAGATCCAGCTCAAAATTCCTCTAACCAGCCTCAGGATCCTAGAACACCACCTCTCTGACATCTGGCCACCTGGCGTGCTCCCCTCTCGCACTGCCCAGGGCCCGTGGCCAATTCTTGGAGGAGCCCTGATCTGTATGCGTTCCAGGCGACGGGGCAGCGCTCCAGACCCCTAGGGCAAGCCCATCACTGGCTCGGGAGAGACCTGCAGACCTCAGCCACAAGCCAGAGGTCAAGGGAGCCTGGCCCACGTAAGCTGGGAGGCAAGTTATTCTGGTGCTGTCACAGAAAAGGGGCAAGTCTGATTGACCCCGTCCTGGCCCCCATCAGCCCTGTCAATCCTGCCACGAAGAAGGGTGTCAGGCCACACACAAGACCAACGTGTCTCGGGAAATGCTCCCTGTCTCAAGAACCCTGTGACTCTCCAAAAACCAGGGAGAAATTCAGCTTCAGGAGGTGGAATCACAGTCCGTTTCAGGGGGACTGGAGGAGCCCAAGATGTCTGCCAACTCCTGCCGGGCCCTGCCCGAACGGCCCTCGAGAATGCTGGCTTTACTTGGTTCTTTTACCTTCTAAGCAGGGGCTTGTCTCGACCCCTGCCTGTCAGCCCTCTCCCCTCTTCTTTCTGGACCCCCTGAAGCACCCACCCCAATGCTGGGGGAATAGCCTGTGGTCAGCAGAACCTTCTTACTGTCTGGTGTGCGAATGGGCTACGAAGGCCTGGAAAATCCATTATTCTGTTTGGAAGCGAACGAGCTTCCACAGAGGCCATACGCTGGTTTCCAATTTTCGGAGGACAGAAACACACACTGCCGAAGTTACGCTGCGCGTAATGTCATCTTTCCCTAATGATTCAATCCAGAGAGGAAACCTAGAGATCCGGCGCTATCTCAGGCATCATTCTGGATGCTGTTTGGAAAAGTTAAGGCAAGAGCAGAAGCTCCGAGTCTCCCCAAGTCCCCAAGCCTCTGCTTCCTTCTCCCTGTGCAGCACACATCTTGGGAACATACTCCAGGATAAACCAGATATAAAAGGTGTGTGTGGCGGGGTGGGGGTGTGGGGTATAAAATCCACAAGGGACGTGCGTCTCATTCGATTTTGAAAGCTCCTAGAAGGAAGGCACTCCTACACCCTCTTTCATTAGTGATGGAAAAAGTTCAGAAAGGCCACCTGAGGTCTCCTGCTCCCTGATCCGCACTGGACTCCACCACCGATGGAGAATACCTCGGGGCCTGGACTCTGTCACCCACCCCCACCCCCCAAAGCTGGTCCAAGCCAACTTGGTGATGGGGGACGTATACACTCCTGCCTCTGTCTCACTCACTCAACAAAATCCATGGAACAAGGGGGCCCCCCTCCCTCACAAGAAAGCGGGTGGAAAACAAGCCAGAGAGGTGGATGACAGCGGCCGCCCAGGACAGCCCCAAAGCAAAGGGGCCTGGCCAGATCTGCAAAGTCAGTCCCCATCCAATGGGGCAGGGACAGGAACAGGCTGAAGGCAGAGTACTGGCCGCCACCCGAAGTTCCTGCACCAGGTTACTCACACGGGAAACCAAGCCAGCCCCCCTCTCCTTTCTCTCTACTGTTCAGCAGAGACTCCGGGCTGAGCACCTGTCAAAGTAAGCCAGGGGAGATCAACGCTGTCTCCCACCTCACCCGTAATCCAGGATGCCTCCCGGTGGCCAAATGACCTGGGGGCCGGCGCCTCACCAGTCCCAGGGCTGCGCCCTTGGACTCCCCCAGGGGAAAACTGACAACTGCGCATTCCTTGAGGACCCCTGGTGACGGACAGCGGGTAGAGAGGAAGGAAAGCGCCTTGGCGCAGACCAGGCATCCGTCCCCGCACCCGCTCCCACCGACCATCCTTGGGACCAGCCTCCCTCTCTGCCCGTGGAGGAGAGAAGCGGGGACGTTATTCCAACAGGTCCCCCTCGGCCGGGCCTCACCGGGCCAGCCTTCCCCCGCCCCGCCCCGCCCCGCGAGGCCTCAAATTCAGCGGGAGCGCCGAGGCACCTGCTGCCAGACCCGCTCCATCCCCGCGAGAGGGGGGCCCTGGGCGGTGCCCTCGGCGCTCCGGGCCTGCTCGGCAAGGGGCGGGGCGCTCCCGGCCCCGCGCCCCCTGCCCGCGCTCACCTGGCGCAGGTGCTGCAGCAGCGTCCCCGCCTCCTCCCGCCGGCCCTGGCGTACCATCCGCAGCAGCTCCTGGACCATGCCGACGCGCCGGTGATAGGGGGGCAGCCCCGCGCCG